TCATCAAAGGCTAAGTTCTGAACGTAACCCGATGCAGGGAGTTCCACTCTCTCTAGTTATACTGAAAAGTTTAGATCATCTTGTTTAGTTTAAAGTGTTAATAACCAAGACGACCAAGTATAACATTTACCTCCCCTCTCTAGGTTCAATGGACTTTTAAAAGTTCTTTTTAAGTCAAAGAATGGTTCTCCAATAATGGTATTTTAAATATTCAGTACACATAGCTAGATATTTTTGGATTAGGCAATTTTCCTATTTTTCTCCAATTATCCTCTTAAGGCCACAGCTGATAAGGCATTCTACTTATTCATGAAAGAGCTCTCATTCACACTAAACTTTGCTTTTAAAATTATGGTGTCTTTGCATTTTTCAAAATGGCTAAGCAGTATCAGAGATGTTTTTGTCAAGCAATATTACAATAAAACTATTCCAAAGGCCTATTTAATTTTTTTTTTTAAAGAGGAATCCCTTCTTTTATTTTTTAAGATTTATTTATTTATTTATTTTATTTATACAAGCACTGGGTACAGTCAGAAGCGCGGGAGGGTGAGAGAATTCACCAGAGCCAGGGCAAGGAGCAGAGCAGGCAGAAGGACCGAAGTACACTGCTGAGGGGAGCAGAGGGCGGCAGGAGAGGTCTGCGCGCCATGTGGGACCCTCCTCCGGTGGCCGGGGAGCAGCCAGGGATCAAACTGGCCCTGCAGAGGCTGCGGGCAGCTTTGCAACCCAGCGCTCAACCGCTGCGCCACCGGGGAGGCCCAGGCCTATTTACTTTTATCTACAACCATCATAACTTCTGAGTAGCAGGAGAGCAGAAGCAAGAGGTTAGAAGGACAGGAGAGAAAGAAGTTGGGGTAAAGGAATGGAGAAAAATTTTCAGTTTTGCTTTTCATAATAGCTAGGGGAATATACAATAGAAGGAAGAATGAAGAAGTGGTAAATTTATGCTGATACTATAAATGAAGGCAAACAATAGAAGGATCTTCCAAGAAAAGTTTTAAGGAGAGGATCTGTTTCATAAACAATAGAAGCCACTGCTCAGAAAGAATTTATGTAGAATGAATCTTGATTAATAAATCAGAATGGTTTTAACACACATATTGGCAGAAGTTCAAATCTAGGACCTGGGGAGCCTATAGGTTTCAGATCAACAGAGAAGTTGGGTATGTTTTGAAGATCCTATCAGAAGTAAAAAGACAAGCCTTGTGGGAAAACCTCAGTGGTCATGGAAGGCCAAGGCTAACATTTCAGGCCATTTGTTTTAGGAAGGAAGAGGCAGATAGAGGAGGCTTTGTGATACGGTTATAAAAAATGTATCTGTGATTCCATTCAAAATGAGAGGACAGTTTGCTAGACTGGACAGGAGAATGTGACTGAATGGTGGAAATCAATGTGAAGAATGGGCTGCAAAAGCAGGTGTGGAAGATGGGAGGGTGAATAGGCAAGACTCAACAGGAACAGGAGTTCATACAATGAACAAACCAGGCCCAATTTTTCAGGCTGTTTTTCCATATTGGATGAAGGGAGGTGATAGAGGCCAATTTGGTTTGGAGTCAGCTTAGATCCACATGTATCTTGTGTTCAGTGGAGTTCAGGCACAAACTCACAGGAAGGCAGCCTACAAGGGTATGAAGTGGAGTTCTGCGAGGGTTGGGAGGTCCCATGCAGGAGCCTGGATATAGAAGCATAATGCACAAGAGATCAAGGTCACTGTGACAGCTACAGGCTAACTGGGTGCTGTCCTTTACTAGATGACCTAGGGCCCTGTTCTGGGTGAAGATAGGTCCCAGAATCTGAAGTGAAACAACTGGATCTTATTCCAGCTGGGATGAACAATATCCAAGGTAAGGCAAGGGGGTTTCAAATGACTAAGGAATTATAATTATAAGAGAGCAGGAGCAATCACTGGAACTGATCTTATGTACACAAGCAAAATATTTTTGGAAGGAATTGCATGTGGGGTATGGGAAGGGGGAAGTGAGGAGTAAGAAACACAGGTTAAGTGTTCTGCTCAGTTCATCACAGGTTTAACCTCATTTTAATGAAATGAGATTATTGCAATCCCGTGAGGTATATATTATTAGTTCCAGTTTACAGATGTGTGTTCAGGTTTCTTGCTATATATGTTGAAAATAACTGTGGCTAAATTGAGGACATGCTTATTATATGCCAAGCACTTTATACAGATTCTTTCTTAATCCTTACAACATCAACATGAAATAGTTAAAAGGTATACTTCTATTTTCAGAATGAGATAATCAGGGCATGGAGAAGTCCCATAATCTGTCTAGGGCCACCCAAGCAGAAAAGTGTGGGAGCGGATGTGAACACAATCTATTTCCAGAGGCTGGAATTATAACTCTGATGAACAGCCTCAAACAGACCAAAGTTAAGAGAAGTTAGGGAAGATACACTTGCAAAGATTTAGAAGTTATTATTTAGGAGACAAGAAATGATAGGGACAGGGAGGGGAAAATCTCATCTTGACAAGGTGATTTTAAAAAAAATTAATCTTTATGACAATTAAGAAAATATAGTAAATACCACATATAATATATATGTGTGTATATATATAGATATATGTATGTGTGTGTGTATATATATATAAAATCTTATGTCATTGCATCTGCTTTAATCTGAAAATGGTGATAATTTTAGGATAAGATTTTTTGTCCTTATAAGCTAATTATCAACTTCCAACAGAACACCAATTTTTAAAATTGAATTTTTTTTATTGAGGTAATACTGGTTTACAACACTATCTATTAGGGTATAGGCTCACACCTCTTCAAATGCATGTTACTACACCACACTTACTACTAAAACACCAATAATAATCTTCCTAGATAAGGGGATTTAATTTGAACATTTAATTTTTTGAGCTAGGAGACACATTATTGATAATTTTAATAAATATGAAAATGCAAATAGCACAGTGAACCTTTATGGAAGGCTTACTATAAGCCAGAGTCTGTTCTGAGTTATTTACATATACAGTTTTTTTTACTGAGTTTTCAGCACAATTCTTTTGTCTCTTTTATTGAAATCCCAGAACCCAGCACATAGTAGGTGCTCAATAAATATTTCTTGAATATTTTAAAAAATAACCATCTACCTTAACATTTAGGCAACCCTAGGTCAGAGGGCTGTAGTCCAAAAGACTCAGCTCCCATGACCCTTGTGTTTTCTTACTTCGCAGCATTTATCTCTGTCTGAAATTATCCTGTTTATTTCTTTGCTTGTTTATTATTTCCTCTCTCTTTGTTAGCATGTAAACTCTGGAGAGCAGAGCCCCACTCACCTTGTTTAGTGCTATGCTTGCAGCATCTAAAGCAATGTCTTGGACATAGGAAGTAATTAATAAATATTTACTGCACAAATAATAGAAGTAAACCCAGTATTTTCATCCTTTCAGAACAGCTTCTTCTACTATAGCACATTGAGTTGTAGAACAGAGAGACTGGCTGTTCATAGCTAGAGTGGCCTCCTTCTCCCGGTGCTGCTCACAGGAGCATCTGTTCACTCTCCATGTCACTGACTCAGCTGTGCACTCACCCAGGTAGACTAACCCAGGAGCACGAAGAATAGAAATTTCTTGTTTGTTCTGTTTTCAACATAAATAGATTTCTCACAGTTGTGATCAAACCAAATATATTTATAGAATAATGACTCTTTCACCTCATACCCTTTAGGTTGGCTAGTATTAAAAAAAAAAACAGAAAATGTGTTGCAAGAATTTGGAGAAGTTCTATAAACTGCTGGTGGGAGTGTAAATGTGGAAAACTGTCTGGTCATTCCTTAAAAATTAAAAATAGAAGTACTATATGATCTAGCAATCTCATTTCTGAGTATGTACCTAAAAAAATCTTGAATAGCTATTTTTACACCTATGACCACAGCAGCATTGTTCACAATAGTCAAAAGGTGAAAACAACTCAAATGTCCACCAATGTGAATAGAGAAACAAAATATGGTATAAACATAGAATGGAATAGTATTTAGTCCTAAAAAGGAAGAAAAATTTGACACATATTACAACATGGATGAACCTTGAGGCTATGATGCTAAGTGAAATAAGCAATAACAAATAGACAAAGAGTCTGATACCACTTATATAAAAAACTTAAAGTAATGAAATTATAGGACCTCCCTGGTGGTGCAAGGGGTTAAGACACAATCTATGAAGGTATCCGCAGCCAATGCAGCACAAGTTCGATTCCTGGCCAGGGAGCTACCCACATGGCACAGCAGACCTCTCCTGACTCGTCTATTGCTCCCCTCAGTGTATATTTCAGTAGATCTGCTTGTTCCGCTCCCCACTCTGTCTCTAGTGAATCTTCTCACCCCCCCATACTGGTCTACACCCCAGTTCTTGGGTGCATAAGTAAATAAATCTTAAAAAATAATGAAATTATAGATACAGAAAGTGAAAATGGCTACCACAGGGTCTGGAAGTAGAACTGGAGAGCTGTTGAATGGGTACAGATTTTTGAAAGATGAAGTGTTTTGGTGGCTTGGTTGTACAAGAATGTGAATGTTCTTAACAATACTGAACAGTACTTTAAAAACAGTAAAATGGCAAATTTTGTTAAGTCCATTTTTCATAATTAAAAAACATAGATTCACTCTTGGTAGTATGACATTTGTCTCCTTTTAAAAGCTGAAGATTCCTAAAGTGAATTACTGAGTAAAGTCAAATGAAAATGCTGAGTACAGATTAAGAAATAGGGTGTTACACTAAGAACTAACAGTTATCATCACAAGCAATCTGTGTTAGAGATGACAAGTGATTAAGCGTAAGCTTTTGGTTTTGGACTCTTGATGTTCAGTGTTGCAAATAACATTTGCTTCATGGTTTTTAAGCATAATGTATATTCTTCAGCATTTCACATAAGTTTCTAGAGAGATTCAGAATTTTAGAGCTTGTGATGTTTACACAGTCAGGCCGATCAGAGAAGGTTGTGACCGATACACTGTTCTGAAGTCCTGCAGACACTCACCTGTCTACACGAAGCTGACAAACAATGCTTAGTGCATCGACAACCCCTTCTTCTTTCAACTGTTGACAGCCGATGGATGTAGCAATAAAACATCCTGTTCTACCAATCCCTGCACTGGAAAGAAAAGATAAAGAGTAAACAAGTAGAAAAAGTAGTTCTTTTAAAAGGGTATTTTCAAATCTGAAACAACATTTAGGGTTATTATTATTAACCATAATATTATTTTTGGCAATCTTATATTGTAACAATTATTATTAATGATTATTAACAATAACAATAATATGATAATGATAACAGTAGCTATCATGAACTAAATGTTAAAATCCTGGCTCTGGACTAAATGTTTAAACTACATTTTTCTTTCTTTTTTTTTTTTTAAAGATTTATTTATTCATGTATACAAGAACCAGGGAACAGGCCAGACATGCAGGAGGGTGAGAGGATTCACCAGAGACAGAGCAGGGAACAGAATAGGCAGACTGACTGAAGTACACTGCTGAGAGGAGCAGCGGGCACAACAGGAGAGGTCTGCTGCACCATGTGGGTATCTCCACGGCCGGCCGGGCTGGAACCCACACTGCAGAGGCTGCAGACAGCTTCACAGCACTGCACTCAACTGCCTGAGCCACCAGTGAGGCCCAAAACTACATTTTTTCATTTAGTTTGATGCAGTATGATGAGTGGGGTGGAGGGAAGTGATGACAGGAAAGAAAAGTGAAAAAGACATTGCAGTAGTTCTACAAAGAATAACTAGGTCCAAACTAGGACTAGGGCAGTAGAAAGGGGGAAGGACTTAAATACATGATATACAATAGACACACAAATACTCATACACAAAGTCTAGAGGACAGGAGTTGACCAGTAAAAAAAGCAGAAGTCAAAGGTGATGAGGTCTGGAAGAGTGGAGGGCTGATAGTAACGATGAGTCAAAGAGAAATTCTGGAATAAGGTAGTGAACTCTGGAATTCTGACTTGAGGGAGAATGAGGAGAATTTGGTCTTGGATATCCTGATGTTGAAGATTCTAACATATAACTGAAGATTCAGTTCAACTTAAGAGAGAGGATGTGGTTAGAGGCACATACTTTCCAAGTCCTTTATAATCAGGTGATTTTTGAATGGGAATTGTCTAGGAGGGTTTACACAGTCATCTGCTTTAGATAGTGTGCTGTCAGCCTAATAGAACCTTTCTGTCATATTCTTTCTACTTTCTCAGCAATTTCAAATTTCAGCCACTTACAGTCTATGCAAATTTTCTTCTAATCTACATTTAAATTCCCTAACTTTTCCCTGAATTCTATTTTATTTTGCATTTATCTTTTTAATTCACAATAAATAGCTTAATATTCAAAGTTTCTTGCTTCCAAGAATGCATATTTTCTCACATTTTCAATGTCCTGGACTTTTTAAAACATTTTTTAAAATTAATTTTTTTACATCATTGTTCATTTTTAAACAATATTTGCTTCCCCCACCCCCCTCAGGTGTAGTCCCCATAGAATTTCCTTCACCAATGCACCTGTGCACCATCACCTCAGCCCCCTGTGCTCCTCCCTCTCTCCCTCTGATCCTTCTGAATTCTAGATTGGCATTCCATTCCCTAGCTGGAACACTTTATGTTACTATTTTGCATTTGCTTCAGTTCAATATATTTAAATTTAATGTATATGAAACAGAATTATCTTTTACCTCAATGGCTTTACCAGTCAGATATAAGTTTTCCAGCCTAGAAATCTTGGCACATCCTTCAACATCTCCTCCTCTCTTACCTCCTACATTCAATCTGTTATAATCCTTATATTTTCCACCTTCCTAAAGTCTGAGCTTTTGAGATCCAGACTTTCCTTTCTATAGACCATGCCCACATTTTTGATATCTCTTTATTTCATGATTAGCAAGGATATCATGATTTCCAAGTCCCAACTCTTTTCTTGGGCTAATTCATAATACACACATTTGCTAGGTTTCTCTCTGTAATATAAGGACTTGATTATATTACTCTCCACTCAAAAGTTATAAATGACTTCTGATAGTTATAGCACAATGTCTAAGCACACCTATGACGTTGATGACCTTGCATAATAGAAATTATCTAGCCTTCAAGTTTTATGCCTTCCTACTGTCCTAGTATTCTTTGTATCATTGTTTTCATTTGCATGAATCTTTGCAAAAAACATGTTTATATGTTTATTTTCTTTTTTTTGTGAATGGTATTTCTCTCGTCAGAAATGTTTTCCCTGCCACTTTTTTTTTTAAAGATTTATTTATTTATTTATACAAGCACTGGGTATAGTCAGAAGTGCGGGAGGGTGAGAGAATTCACCAGAGCCAGAGTGGGGAACAGAACAGGCAGACTGATGAAACACACTGCAGTGGGCACAGCAGGAGAGGTCTGCGCGCCATGTGGGACCCTTGCCCGGCAGCCTGGGATTGAACCGGCGCTGCAGAGGCTGCGGGCAGCTGCGCAGCCCAGCGCTCAACCGCTGGGCCACCGGGGAGGCCCCCTGCCACTTTTTAAAATCACAAATATTGGTCATTTAAAGATTCTGTTTCAATATTATTCCAACTTTCATAAGTTTTCTTTAGTCCTCTTGGTTTGAATTAATTGTTCCCCCTTTGGGACTCAAACAGCATTTATTTCTTATATCTGAGACTTGTTTATATTGAATATAAGTGCAGAGGAATTAAAAGGTAGGAAAGGTCTCTTTTACTTGAAGTGTCTAAAGAGAATTTGTTTCATTAAAGGGATGGGATTTAAACTGTACCCTACAAAAGGCAGGCATATTGGTTATCATGCAGAGGGAGACTATGTATGAGAATAATATAAGGAAAGGATTGTTGCATAACAACATAGGGTATGTGACAATGAATAGACTTGATTGGCTTGAAGAGAAAATTATTTAGAGTTAAGTGGGAAAAAAGACTGGGAAAGTACACAAGGGCCTAAAAAGGATTCCTATAGAAAGTTAAGTTTGGACTTCAGCTCTAAAACGGAGGTACTCTGCTTGTTTTTCTTTTCTTTTCTTTTCTTTTTTTTTTTTTGATAATTTGATGAAAACTACGAACATTCACTTCCCAGGAAAATTAAATAAAATTATGTATTTTAATTTGTACAAATAATTTCTAGGCATTCATTGACTCCTGTAGTTCATCCATAGATTAAGAACTTTTGTTTGGCATTGCGGAGTCTTTGAGAAGTTTTGAGCAGGTACTCCATTGCTGAAAGAGGGTTTTAGGAACATACCCCAGGTAAGTATTAGAGTAAGTCATAATGGGACTGGAGTATGGGGAAGTGGGGTGTATATGTGCAATTAGCCAACTACTTCTAGAATACATGGATGAGGTCACAGGGCTTGAACTTGGGTGGTTGGACAGGAAGTGATGATTACGGGAGAAACTTTGAAGGGAAAGCCAATCTGGTGACTGATTAGATACTGATGCTGGAGTTGAGAGAAGGGCCAAAGATAACTGTAAACATTAGATGTTGAGCAGTTGGAAAAAGGATGGCCTCATTTTTAGAAATAGTAGTGAGAAGAGGAGCTGGTTTTATAGGGGAAGTGGTTAGCTTGTTTTAGACATTCTGAAGGTTTTATGATTTTAAGGGGGGGGACAGTCCCTGTCCTAAAGCATGCCAATGAGGTTGTTGCTCCTTTACTTAATGCTAAGCTTACGAGAAGTCCTATGCTAGAAACTGGATAGTGATGCCTTTGGAAAAATAGGCTTATAGTACAAAGATTCAAAGAAGAAAGTGGCTAAAATTAAAATTTAAAATATTTATTTGTAAAAGATACCTAAATTACCTCATAAGACATATGAGGTTAAACAAAGCAACACAAATTGTTTTGAGAAAGTATGAAGAATAGATGATTGGTTATATAAATAACTTCAAAAATATTTATTTAGTCTGGGCACACTCATTGGAAAGCAGGGGGAAGACAAATCAGTTGTAGGGGAAGAGCTTTAAGCTGGATATTAAGGACAGGAACCACCATGGACAGCCATTGCTTTTATGGGCCTGGCATCTGATCCCCCTATTCTGGTAACAACCCTTTGTTTCACTTTCTGACAAGCTACTACTTGCCCACATCCCATTTCATGAATTTATTTCCATCTGACTTTCATGAGATAACTTTCAAAACAGTTGACTGATTTTCACCAAATTTGACATAGCCATTAATGTTATCAAGATACAACCCAAATATATACTTCAGGCGCCATCTTGAAACAAGAAAAAAAAAGTTATTGATAATTTTAAAAAATTCTGTCATTCCTAGCTTTTGTGATACTAAATGGATCAATCTTAGTTTTTAAATAGAAGACTGAAAAAGTTCTCCTGTTCCCTTAACCATTTGTTTAGAAATGGTATTTTCTTACTGTGTAATTGTTTGCTGAAAATGCAATAATAATAATGTCACTTAATTTCTGTATAGCAGCATCTTGATTAAGACTCAAATATTAGGAAGCTAAACCAAATTTCAAAAAAGTGCAATTGACCAGCAAAGGCACAACCTGAATGCAAAATCTAACTTCTCTTTGCACTCTGATTTTACAAAGGATGGACAGTTGCTTAGTTAGAAAGGACAGTTTATGACTTACCTGCAATGGACAACAACAGGCCCTCGACCTGTGGAGGCAAGTCTCTCTTCCTCTACATCCAGCATGAGCTGTAGAAGGGGCTGGGCACTGTCTGGAGTCTTGTGATCAGGCCATGAGGTGTACCAGTAATGCTTCACATGTTGGGTGTGACTTCCTTGCTGAAAATAGCAACAGCCACCAAATGCCTCATTTACTTGTGGAACTAAAAGTCATCCAAACCACAATACTGAATGCCTTCTATCACTTTCATTTTGCTGGCAAAATGGAAAAACCTCTGGGAGATTTTTGAAGACTACCTTTTTGCCTTGGGAAAACTTTACAGTAAATATCTTGATGTCAAAGTTTGAGAGTCTTGCCTTTATCAAATAAGAAAACATTTAATACTGAAAATGTGTATATAATATATGCTAAATATTTTTTTAACTTGGTGTAATAAACAAAATGGCAAGTGAAAATGTAGCCATGAAATTGGGGTATATTGTATTTCCCGTTCTTTGGACCTTTCTAACAAGTTAATAAAAGCAAGTTATTATTTTATATTCTATTATTAAAAACCAAGTTATTATTATATTTATGATTATAAAGTTAATCAAAGTAAGAACACTTGATTTTATATTTAATACTCTTAATATTCTACTATTCTACACTCAGCTCAAATTCCAGTTTTTAACAGCTTCGAGGAATTTCAGTGGTAAATTTGCTGAAAGAGGTCACTGGATTGGAAATGTTGAATGAATATTCATGCTTATGTCAAAGCACAATGTCTTGTTCGGGGTCTAGCACTGTCTAGACACTTGAGGAAGAGCAGATTCCTTTAAGAGCCTACCTATCTTGAATTTTCCATTAAAAACCTCAGTGCAGCTCTGCCTCTGATCTCTTTCTTTCTGTGATGATTTTGTCCCAGCTGTGAGGTTCTAGATAAGACTGAAATCTTTGGGTTGATCTCTAGAAACAAAAATAATACCATGGCAACAGTCTGCAGCATCTGCTCTCAGAAATTAAATAAGAAAATTTTTCTATGATGTAATTTGGTCTGGGGAATATCCCTATAAATTACTGTCACTCCAAATTTTGGAAAATCTCTTCAACACTTCAGGCTTGTCTTGCCTCCCACAGCCACCCACAAACACAGATTTTATCTTTTACAGTTTCTAGTCCTTTCTTAAAGCTGCTTAGACCAAAGTGACATTAAAAAAAACATGGTAAAATCTCCAAGCACATGCATTTAGTCAAAGGAGTTCAAAAGGTTAAATCAGAGATGCTTTATTTATGTAAATTTAGGAGATCATAACATCCTAATTTAATAATAGTCAATTAATAATAATAATAGTCCATTTCCTTAATGCCTACTTATATTAATTTAATCATTCCATGTGCTAATAGTAGTTGACAACAAAAGAAATACATGAGGGAATGATTATAGTTTCTCTTTAAACTTAACATTATTTAATTTGTTTAAATTGAATCTGTAGTACTTAATAGGATAAATACAATAATTTTGAAGTAGAAATGTAATTCTCTAACATCACCTGCTTTTGGAGATAAGCTATGACTTCATAATCTTACCTTTAAGACAAGGTTTCGAATAGTGTAGTTATCACATTCATTTACGCTGATAACCAAGACCTCAACTTTCCCATATATTCCTCTCTTTTCTGGCCAGTATAGTACACATTTCTGGAGGACAGGAAAGAAGAACACAGTAAATATTAATGATTTTAATTGGCTTTGGACTGATTCTCTCTCTCTCTCTCGTGTGCACATGCATGTGTGTGCATGTGTCTGAGTTATCTTTTATATATCTCTTGACTTTTTTAATTGAAGTCAAATTGGTTTAGCACTGCATATGATTTAAGGGTACAGAATCCATATCTTAGATGTATATTATCACACCATGCCCACCACTAAAAGCAGCCACAATTATCCTTCATTCAAGTATGTCAAGAGTTTTTGTTTAATTAATCTAAGACATCAAGTATCAATTTTTATAATTCTGTAAGTGAATTCAAACCACTGAGTTGCACATTTTAAACTCCCCAGTGGCACAGGGGGTTGAGCACCATGCTGGAAGCTGTCCACAGCCTCTGCAGCACCAGTTTGATTCCTGGCCTGCCAGGGAGATACCCACAAGGCATGGCAGACCTCTCCTGTCTCAACCACTGCTTCCCTCAGCAGTGTCTTCGGTCTGTCTGCCTGTTGTGCTCCCTACTCTGTCTCTGGGGAATTCTCTCACACTCCTGCACCGCTGACCTATAGCCCAGTTCTTGTATAAATAAATAAAAATAAAAAAAAATAATAATAAACTGATGCCTTCTATGGTATATAATTTATATCTCAATAAAGTTGTTTTTTTAATAAAACCCAGTATTCACATGTGCCTGTCAAATATTAATGCTTATAATTCCATCCAAAGAAAAATAAAGGCAAAATTTCTGAAAACTACACAGAAAAATTAAGAACTAAATTAAGGAATTAAGATATAAATATTAGAGTTTATCATGTGATGTCTAGAAATAAAAGGAATATGCATAGTAATTGAGGCAAGTCACTTCCCCTGCCTCATCAAACCAGTGTCTAATAAGAGTGCTGTAATGGGTCAGATGGCATAGAATGAAGTTTCCCTTGAATATAAAGCAGATGTAATGACCATTAATACATCCATGTTGCCTTTTTTCAGGTCTTTTCACCAATGGGGTCAACTGAATTAAATGTGTAACAAAAGTACTTTCAAAGTATTTTTGTAATGGCTCTTCTTTGAATGGTTTAATAACAGTAAGGACAATTACACTGCAATCAAGGCAAAGTAATACGGTGGTCACTACTCTGGAGTCAGAGAGTCTGACTTTGGTTCAAATTTTGGTTTTGTCACTGTTTAGGCTCTGAATCCATAAGTAAGATATTTAATCTCCCTGGCCTCAGTTTTCTTCAGATTTAATACATGGAAAACACTTAAGACAGAAATCTGGCATACAGTAAGCAGTCAAAACATATTATTATTATCATAGTTTACAACTACTGGATTACACATTTTTTTCTTCTAATGTGATTAATTCACTAGCTATGCATTAAATCATACATTAAATGTATGTTGTTATAATTATATCCAACTTAGCTTATGAAGAAAAAAATAACAAAATGAGATCGAAGTAGACATATAAACTCACATTATTTATTATTTTGCCTTTTAAACAACTGCAAAAGAACTCTTAGTTATTTTACCAGAAATTTTAATGGTTGAAAATGTAAAGTTGAAAGTTGATGTTAATTTTGGAAATATTATTAAAATTTCACTTACTTTCTTCCAAACTACATGCACATTTATAGAGAAATCCCTCCACTCATTCCTTCAATTGGGACTCTTAGTATCCAGGACACTTGTTTTGTCACATTTATGTCAAAGGTATGACCACATTTAAAATATTAAGTACTTATAGATTCAAAAGAACAGCAAAAGAATCATAATTACAGAACTAAAGGAAAAGACATGTAAATAATCAGAAAAATATGTCAGGGCTCTATTTAATTAATGTACCAAGAACTTTACAGAAGAGAGTGACAAGGAAGTCACTTTGCCTAGAGGAATCACTGTTTCTTCCATCCATTAAATAAAAACACACTTGCATCCTCTATTTTCTGGTCTTTTTCCAAATAAAGTAAATCATTCCCCCTCTATTTATGAATACATGTCACCCTACATCCAAGACCGTTAGGCAAACAAGCTAGAGGCTTACTCCTCTGGCTGACCAAGTGTTAACATTAAGAAAATAAACATTTAAAAAATAAAGAAATTAATTTCCCTCCTCATTTACACTTGGCACATGTCTAAAATCACCACCCTCCTCCCCAACCACCGTTTGTTAAAGGTAATCATACTAACCAATTTGCCTGGTTTCTTTCAATGAAGCATCAATTATTTCGCCGAGAGACCCGAGCTATTGTGTATCTTAAAACCCCTGCCTCTCGGATGAATCCAGGAATAGTGACAAAGAATCTTGAGAAAGGTATTGAACAAAGACAGAGGCTTTCAGTGGTCCAGCAGTGCTACGTGCTCCATTGTCCCCCATCAGACCTGAGCTGCAGGCCCCTTTTTAAGAAGGTGGCTCTTGAAATTGGTAGGGAAAGCTGCAAGGCAGGAGCGTAGCTGGCACCTCGGCTCTTAACAATACTTGAACAGCTTGTGCACCTACTCGATAAATGGAAGCGCTGCTTGCTTCTCTCCCAAGCTTGCTGGGGCCCTCTTGAGTGTTTTTCTTGACTCTTTACCAAAAATGCAATTGGCAGCCAGCTCCGGGTAGACAATGCAAAGTGACTTGTTCATTCAAACAACCCTTAATTAGCATCCCATCTCCTTTCTGAGATACAATAGCTTATTTTTACACACTGAATACATTTTCCCTTTTTTAGGAGAATGTAGAAAAAGAGACCAGATAAGTGTGGGTGTTTTTGAATACGAGGTGGGGGAGAACGGCAAATGTAGTTGCTTCTAAGAGCACAAGTTCAGGTTCAAATTATTCTCACCAACAGCTTTTTAGGGTTTTAATATTGTGGTGCTAACAATGATATGAAAAAGGCAGAAAATGAAAGGAAGGAAAATGCTCTCTTGCAGATAACATTGTGAAATCACACTTAATGCCGATAATTAAAAATAGCAGGCTAATCTAGCAGAGTGTAACCCCAAATCATAATTATTCCACTAACTGGGCTGATCCTTTCACTAGAATTATCTATGAATTCCAAGAATTCATAATTTGGAGGAAAAAGAGGTTTTCACAGGGACACATATCTCTTGTGCAAACTAACAGGGAAACTTACTGTAAAGATTCTGGACAATAACCAGTTCTTCCTAATCAGTATTTTATAGCCACAGTAGAATGAAATGCAAAACAATGCAAACTCATATTTTTATGATATTTGTTCCCTGTTGACCCTCCCCCTCACTCCAACTGCATTAGGCTATTTGTGTATTAAAAAAAAAAATAGAAGGAGGAGGTCTAACTGTGTTTAGCTATCTGAAAAAAAATATTTTTAAGTTACTTGCCTTTTAAATTCTGTGCTTTTAAAAGCAAAGGAACTTTGTTCTATGAAGAAATAGAAAAAGAGACCAGATAATTGTGGGTGCTACAGATAATTGTGGGTGCTACAGATAATTGTGGGTGCTAAAAGATTATAAAGGTGTGGGTGATGGATCACCACATAGAAAGTGGCTCTAAATAAGCAAAAAGAAGATGCTTGGGTTCATTTATGTGACATTAGCATCTAGTAGGCATAGAATGAGCCAAGTTTTCTGCAATGTTAGGCCAAGTCACCAAGTAATCCTTCATTTCATGAAGGAAAAATCTAGTGTCTTATGCTGAGGTCAACAGTGAATTGTCTGCCTTCTAATATCTTGCTTCTTCATTTGGCCTATTATGTTGGGGTAATGAGTAATGGAATCAAACAAACTGGAATTAAAATTTGGACCCCATCACTTACTAATTTTAAGACTTTTGGCATATGTCTTAAGTTGTTCTGGGTTTAAGTTGTTAATAATATAAGGACAGTAAAACCTATTTTGTAGAGTTAGAGTGGCAATGAGCTGAATTGACATATGAACTGTGCTTAGTACCTACATTCAATAAACAGTTGGCAAATATCTTCCATGTAATATGATTAACACCTATTGCTACTTTCCTTCTTTCTTGGAAAGGATGAAATGGGCAATGAATAGCTTCCAGAGATAGTCTGAGGACTTTGGAAGTGTGCAAGTTCCTGTTTTCACACTGATCTTCTAACTCCAGCTTTAAAGGTTTTGGTCATTCTGTCTTCTCTAGTAATGCAATAGTTTATGTTAAATGACTTTGAACACTGGGTTTTCAATGTTCTCTTTCAAAAGGAATTTCTTTTTTGAGATTTGTCTAAATGAAGGAACTCTAATTTACCAACAATAAAATCACTTCTCTTTGTTACAATATAAAAGAAGTGGTTTTTCAGCTATAGTTTAGGGTCTTTTTTGTATATTCTCATTTTATAAAAAGGGAATAACTATGAGAATATTGAGATTATTAAATAGGACCTCCTGGTTATGCATGTATTTATTAGAAAGATTTGTGAATACATAAAGCCTGGGAATTTCTAAAAAAAGCTCCATCATTTTTTTTTGGTGGAAATGATTTTTGTCTATTCTAAACAATGATGCTTAACACAATTGAAAGTTGGCGCATTTTTGGTAAACACCATTTTCCTGGAAGCCACATTTCTTTTGAGTCAGATTTTTGAGTATCATTTTGATCTGTAAAACATCAAAGTTTCCTCTATAGTATTATATTTACATTTTGGGAAGGCCTGGACAAAAGGAATTTTAATTTAATGAGTAATTAATAATAACAAGCAATAAAAAATGTCAAAGTATTTAATGGACTATTTGGGATTATGACTGGCTACAGGAAAATGCACACACATAGAAATCATGTAACATATTTGACTTTGATAATTTCCGGAAGATATAGTCCCGACATTTAAAAACACAAGTAAGAAAAAAAAAAAAACTTTCTCCTATTTTGGAATTATGCAGTCAAAGAGAAAAAGAAAAACTTTAATCATCCTTTAATGTGGGTAATATTTAAAAAAAAATTTAGTTTTCACCAGATCCACTTGACTCTCCAAGTGGAATGTGAATGAAAGTGGCACCAACAGGTTAGCTGCAAGTATGATGCACTTGAAATATAAGGAACAAGATGATCTCCAGTCTTTTGCAGATGCAGAATGGAGAGTTCTGAACATTGTCAGTGAACCAGCTCAGTACCTGTTCGAAATACACATTTAACTCACACAGTGGTTCTGATAGAATGACAACCTTGGTCTTGGGGATGGAGAAGAATAACTGTCTGTTGGGTCTTTGGCATATTTACCAATTGCTTATATCATCCCTATTATTCTAAAGATATGTCACATACCACTCACCCTCCAGGGAATGCCTTCTGACAGATAATCTCAGCTTCTTTGGCTGACAAAACTGATTCAAATGTGAGTTAAAGTGCTAACGTCAAATTTCTGACTCTTTCTATAAGAGAGAACAAACCTCAGAATATATCATAAAATTGAAGGATTGAAATGCTCAAGATAAAAAATTTTAACTTTCTTTACACAGTTACTAGCACCAGAGCAAAGTGTTTCACATATACTTTTTCAAATGTTAATTCTGAACAAAAAATGCAACACTGACAAATAGGTCATGTTTTTTGTGGAAAACATAATTTATTTCAAAAATTTTACATATACATATACTACACCAGTACATAAAATACTTATACTATATTAATACATAAAGTGTTGGTTTTCTATGATTTTAGTTTTAATAGAAGGAATAGAATTAGTCAGGATTTGATTGTGCTTTGAGAAAACATTTATGTTGTGACAATCTATTCAGAAAGTTGTTTTTCTTTTTTTTTAAGATTTATTTATGCATACTAGAGATGGGGTATAGGCCAGAGGTATGGGGGGTGAGAGGATTCACCATAGACAGAGTAGGGAACAGAACAGGCAGATTAACCAAAGTGCACTGCTGAGGGGGAGCAGCGGGCAAGTGAGGAGAGGTCTGCTGCTCCATGTGGGTTGCTCCCTGGCGAGCAGGGGATCAAACTTGCGCTGCAGAGGCTGTGGACAGCTTCATAGGTTGCGTCTTAACCCCTTGTGCCATCAGGGAGGCTTCAGAAAGTTGTTTTTCAAATCCAAGTGAGGCAGGTGTAACATGTTCTGCTTAGGTCTAGGAAATATTGCTAAATCCTTTATGAGGTTGTTTGGAGTCCACAAAAAGTAACTGATCAGTGCCCCATGGATATTAATTTAGGGGATTATTTGATAAACACAGATGACTTAGGGGATGATTTGGTAACACAAATGACAGAGAGGGAAAACAAAATGGACACTAATAAATGAAGTGAGGTTCCTGAGGTTAAGTGGGAGAGGAGAGGAGGGCAAAAGGGTCAAATGGGGAGAAGGAATGGTGGTGGGGGGGAAATCAATCCTGTTGAGGCCTGACTATTTCTAATATTTTAATTTGCACTTTCTCCATTTTTATAATTAATTTCTAGTTTTGCCTACTTTGGACTTCTAAAAAACAAATGTTTGTCTTTATTAATCCTTTTATTTTTCCCTTGTATTTCATTAATTACTGTTTTCAGCTTTACTGTTCTGTCTTTACTTTGTATTTATTCTCCAATTCTTTTTACTAAGTCAGTTGCTCTGGTCATATTTATTTCTAGTACTCTGATTTGCATTTAAATCTTCCTAGTCTCCCTTGATAGTAACTTTTGTCAAGTTATTTTACATTTTGTGGGCTTAGTTGCAAAGACTACAGCCTATTTTTACAACTTCTATTTTAATTTTTTTGTGGATCTATTTGCTGCTGTTTCTGATTATTTTCTTATGTTGCTTTATTTAATCACATATCTCATAATTTTGACATGTAAGTTAATGTTTGGCTGGGATGTACCTGTGGAAATTCTGTGAAGTGTATGCTAATTGCAAAGGCATCTAAAAAGTTTTTCCCTTTGTTTTTTGTAAAGTGTCACAGAAAGCTACCAACTCAGTATTACTTTTTATGTTCATTATGGCATTTCTAAAGACTCAAGAGGCTTTTTATTTATCCCACAGAAAGGTCAGACTTAGTTTAATTTCCTGTTGTACTCCTGTTTTGGTAGGCAGGTTTATTTTTGTGGTTCACCTTTTCACAGAAGTTGCAGCCATTACGGGTCTCGCTTTATGGAAGGCCTCAGTTCCAGCTCCTGGTTCCTGTAAATCCAGTTTGTCTCCAGTTCTATTTGATCATTAAAACACAAGTTAACCTCAACTCCCTGGTTTTGGTCTGTGATTCAGGTTTCGACCACTGTGATTTTCTCTACTTCTTTTTTTCGAGCTCTGCTATCTGTGCTATTTCACTTTTATCCAATATAGCTGGCATTATTATAGTGGGAGGTTTTTCAGGTTATCTACCTTGATATACTATCTAATTGCTCGCTCTATATGCATATATGTATATGCACAGAGAATACATCTTTTAAACTGGAGAATCTTTTCCTTTGATAAAGAAAAAATATCAAAGATTTTAAACAACTGTTTAGAAATTGCTAGTGGACGTTGATAGAGCAATAATGTGTATGTATGAGAATATGAAGGGTTATTAATTACTTAGTTCAGGCTTTCATATAAGAGTCATAGAAATGTATTTATTTAGTAAGCCATATAACTAATTAAGTATGTAATTTACTGGCCAAAAATATACTTTAGTTCAGGATACATTTTAGAAAAAAATGCTTCACTTATTATAGCAAAAAATAGAAGAAACAACAAAAATTTAAAAACTTCTAAGTTACTATTTGTGGGCCTGGATTTTCTTGATTAGCTGAGGGATTATATTACATTCAAGGATTATACTAACCAAAAGGGTGTGAGGGTAAATTCAGTTTTCTGAAATTCTTATTGTCATACCTTGGTAGAATAATTCTGACTAGAAAACAAAAGTACTGAGTAAATCAAACTGAATTATCCTCATAAGATGCCCTAAAATATAAGCAGTACCTAGGATAGCACCCTTTGGAAATTACACAATTTTTGTTTTTATGTTGCAAAATGCAGAATGAGTATTATGTAAACAAGATACTTAGTAAAGATTGCTAGTATGGAAATAGGATTAAATTTTATCTCTTTATTGGATTTTTATCTCTTTATTGGATTTTTAGTATGTAGATAATGAGAACATTGCTGGGTTTAGGCAACTTCTTCAAATCTCACTTTCTTCGAGAGGCTCATCCCACTTACCCTATTAATACTGCCACTTTTTGCTCTTCCCCCTCACCCCTCTGTCCTGCTCAGCACACCCAATCCCCTCATCCTGCTCTAGTTTTTTCTATAGCATTCCTCCATAACACACCTCCTTTATAATATGCTGTATTTCCATGAATTTATTATGTTCATTTTTTTTTTTGTCTGTCTCCCCCACTAGAAAGTTAAAACTGACCAAAAGCAAGTCTCATTGTGCTTTGTTTGCTAATATATTGCCAACAACTAAAACTGATACCTGTCATACAGTAGGTGCCCCCAAATGACTTGGGTTATAATCAGCAGTGCTTATCTCTTTTTTCCCTCATGTATAATATTTATTTATTCAAATTTTATTTAAATTATTTTTTTTACAATGTCCCCATAGAATTTCCACTCCAACTCACCCGTGCACCATCACCATAGTCCCTCGTGTTCTTGCCACCCCCACCCTGGTCTCTTTCCCTCCACCTCCTGGGAAGAATGTCTCTGATTTGTAGTTGTCTTTTTATTGTTGTTGTTTTTTAAAGATTTATTTATTTTTATACAAGAGCTGGGGTGCTGGCCAGAGGCACATGAGGGTGAGAGGATTCACCAGAGATAGAGTGGGGAGCAGAACAGGCAGATGACCAAAATACACTGCTGATGGGAGCAGCATGTGCTCTAGGAGAAGTCTGCCTCACCACGTGGGAATCTCCCTGGCTGGTCAGGAATCAAACTTGCGCTACAGAGGCTGCGGTACAGCTTCACAGTGCTGCGCTCAACCCGCTACACCACCAGGCAGGCCCCTGTTGTTTGGTTTTGTTGTGTTTTTTTAATTGTTATTACTATTATTATTATTTTTACCTTTGGTCCTTCATTTGGTTCCCCTATATTCCTCCTATAAGTGAAACCATCTGATAGTTTTCTTTTTCCTTCTGACTTATTTCCCTTCTAGCTCCATCCATGTTGCTGCAAATGGCATCAGAGTGAGAATTCATAGCCCCTCATTTTCTTATTGAGCTATATGGGTACGAATTACAAACACACACACACACATCTATATATCTATATATCTATATCTATATCTGTATATATATTATTGATTCATCTGAAAGAAAGTTACCACTCATGGAATAAAACCAATTACCATTATTTGAAGCACGAAGTGACCTTGTCTGAAGTATCTCAGAGTTTCCATCTTAAATCTGTTTTTAAGTACATGGCAATTTTCCTTATACAACATCTCTTCTGTTGCAACAGAAAATATATAACTTTTGGAACTTGGGTAAAGTTCATACCTCATTTTTTTCCTTGAGTTTTGTGATCATAACGATCACAGGACTGTCTTCCTGCCAAACCATCTGCCAGAAATCATTCACGGTGTTGATCATGGGGCCCTGGGTGGCGATGAACGCTTTCTCTTTGCCACCGTAGCCCTAGTTTGAGGACAGAGAAAGAAACATTGGCTTTGGACTTCATGCCTTGCACTGGAAGTTTAGTTTAGGCAACAGATATTCAGAACAAAATAGCTCTGCTAGTCCAAAAGCAACACAGACTTTGGCGGCTTCACTGATTTTAGCACAATTCACAGGATAATCTTAGCAAGTCAAGTCTAGCACAGGCGTTTGCATTTGAGGGTTAGCATGCTCCATCCTCACCAGAGTGCCCATATAAAGCACTGCAACCACAGCCTCATGGGAAAAGGAGACTCATTGTAAAGGGCACTACCTGTGTTGATTGTGGCTAAGCAAATACAAAATGGCTTGCTAGTCATCAAGATAAATCAAATTAATCTACTCAGGAGAATAAAAGAAAACCAACAATTTCAAATGGTATATAGACATGCTCCTCAGAGGGAAATTTATATTTATTTACTTACCCTGATATAATTAGCATTAATGTAGGTGCTCAAAGAATCAGTTACATTTTTGGACTTTAAACACACTCTGCTGAGGGGATCTAATGAAGAAAACAAGAAAAAAACATGTTAATCAGATTTACTCTTCTAAGTACTGGAGAACACCAATAATTCGTACAGAGCACACCTGTTCATTTGTATGTTGACTTAGAGGCTTGTATTAATGTCTGTTGTGGATGCACCTGTGTGTCTATCTCTTAATTCTTCCATGATGATCAAAGCACATTTGAATGCATTTTGACCCCTGTTCTGCCAGAAATCTTTCCCATAAACCTCAGATGATGGATTTATACTTTGTGTCATTCATTGATGGGTTTCTGATACTTGAACCCCTTCCCATTTATGCTCCCTTTCCTATTCCTCAGATTTGGAATCTGCTTTCCCTTCAGAGATACACTAGGCTGAATGCTCTACTTCCTACGTATTTCACTAGTTCATCTCATCCAGAGCCTCAGGTTCCAACTGACCACATCTTACAATCTTATGTCTCATCAGACTTATTGATTTCCCAAGGTGGAGGAGATTGAGTCATTGTGTACTGTGCTATCAGCATGGGGGTAGGAAGTGGTGCAAGTCAGGGAAAGAAGGAGGTTGCAACATAAACATTAATGACATCAATGAGTTCTCAGTCTGTTCACAAAATAGCCAGCAGTATTTGATTGTTTACTAGATGTCAGACTATATTCTCAAAGCTTTACAGGTATTATGTCATTCAATCTTTATAAGTCTTTCACAATAGTACCTAAAATAATGAGCTCCATTCTTTCCTTCAATTTTCAAATAATAAACCTACATAGAGAGGTTAAATGATTAGTCCACAGCCAAGAAGTAATAGCTTTGAACTCATCGAGTCTAACTCTAGAACGCACTTAGCCACTATGCTCTGCTGCTTCCCTAATACAAAGATGGCCACAGAAGTGGACAATTACAGCACAACTTGTGGGATCTTAGTGCTTGCACCATTTGTTTCTGGACTAACAACAAATTCAATGTTTTTCAGTTTCCATTTTCAGAAAAGCGTGGTGTAAAGATAGGGGTGTGGCATAAAGGACCCTTCTTCTATTCCCTTGTTAGCAGTAACAGTGATTGATCACATTCTCAATATAATGCAAGCACTAACATTTCCAAGTCAAACTCAGAAAAATCAAAGAGGAGGTGAGGTAAGAAATTTCTTCTAGAGGAAGAAATTATCACAGAATACATTATTAGAGATAATAAAAAATCTAATGCGATTTGGTGGGATCAAGATTTATTTCAAAAGTTTGTTTCATATATAATTAGTATTAAAAATAATAAAAACCACAACTAGTTTCAGAAAGAGACTAACTACCCCGTGGGGACAGTGGTGGTTTAAAAATAGAGCCACAAATTCTTTGACACTCCTCAAAAAAATGGAGACTAATTTCCCTTTCCTTTGAGCGTGGGCAAGAATTAATGACTCACTTCTAATAAATAGAATATGGCAGAAGTGGTGGTGTGTGATTGGGCCATAAAAGGCATCCTAGCTTCCTCCTTGGGCTGTTTTTCCTGGAGGAAGCCAACTGCCAGGGTACGAGTGCACTCAGGCATCCTTACGGAGAGAGGAGTGATGAGATGCTGAGGTCTCCCATCAGGAGCTTTGTGAATGCGCCTCCAGGGAAGCCCACCTACTGCAGCTGTGGCAGATGTCTCAACTGAAATCTCATAAAGACCCTGAATCAGAGCCACCCTACTGAGTCACTCTGACAGAAACTGACACAAAACACTGGACTGACATCATCATCGTTGCTTTCACTGGGGAGTCGATAGTTGTGGGAAATAAGCAGCTGACAGTGTTTAAGTCACATGTCACTAAATCATCATATTTCTACAAAGGTAATATTCTCTTTGTTAGGAAATGTAAATGCAGAGAGGTACAACCCAAATGCCCAAAAATACATGACTGGATCAAGAAGATGTGGTATATATACACAATGGAATACTATTCAGCAATCAAAAAAGATAAACTCATGCCATACGCAGCAACGTGGATGGAGCTAGACGGGATTATGCTCAGTGGAATAAGTTAGATGGAAAAAGAAAAATATCAGATGATTTCACTTATAGGAGGAATATAGGCGAACCAAATACATCTATAAATCAGAGACATTCTGTCGTGGAGGGGGAGGGAGAAGGATCAAAACAATGGCAGGAAGAGCACAAGGGTCTATGGTAATGGTGCATGGGTGAATTGGGGCTGAAAATTCTATGGGGACTACACCTGATGTAATATATATATATTATATATTCTATAATATAGTACATATATAAAGAAATTAATTAGATGCTTTAAAAAAAAAGTAACTCACCTAAGGCCACACAGTGGCAAGAGGTAGTTAGGCTGGAAGTGGTGGGGACTGTTTGAGTCATAGATACCATCTGAACGAGCAGTTGCAGTACTAGACTCAGTAACACTGGACTCTGTTGGGACTTGGGATTTGAGCTTTTCGTCAGAACCCCCCTAGAAAAGGTATGCTTGAACAAGTGGCCCTGAAGCAGATGACTTTCTTTAAAGCAGAGACTGGGTTCCTGGCGAAGTGTCCAAGGTCAGTCTCATCATATGGAGCCCGCATTGTGCAGATGCTCTGGAGAAGTGAGCTGGCATCAAACATTCAAAAGCACATTGTTGCCTTAAATTCTAAGGTCACTTTCCATCAAGAAGCTGAAAGGTTCTTTGTGGACCACATATGTTAAGTGTTTTTACCAACATTTACAAAAATGAATTAAGATCAATGTGTCTTTTTATCACTTCTTTTATCTTGTCCACTCTGAGCCTCTTGAAAACAAGAATGGGGATTTTTTTATTGTCTCTATAAAATCTAGTATCTAGTACAGTGCTTTATAAAGACAGATGACCCTCAGTACATGCCAATGGCATGGATGTCAATGGTCCCTTTCATTTTTTAAGATGTCAGTTCTATGCATTCTCTCTAGCAACTGTTCTGTTGTTAGCCTTCTCTAGACAGAAGTTTCTGAGAGTTGATTATTTTCACTGTCCCTATGGCCTCACCTGTAATTCCCTTTTCTTCATACACACATCAGTCCATCCTAACCTTAGTCTTAGCAGAGTTTGCTATTATTCATGTCACTAAACCCACTGAGCTCATGTAGTCCTTTTCTTTGTGCCTTCTCGAACGCATTCCAAGTGGTTGACTGCATCTTTTTGGATTTATCCTTTCCCTTTGATCTCAAGATACAGTATTTTGGTTTTCCTGTTGTCTTTTCATTGGTCTCTTTTACATTTCCTGCTTGTTTCATCTGCCCCCTTTAATGTTGCTAACTCTAGGATTTGACTTGGCTGTCCTCTGTGCTCACTTGGCACTGCCTTGTTGGGTGATTGATTTATTCCTATAACTTTAATTACTATCCTTATCCTGAGGACTCCCAAGTATATCTCCAAGGCTAGACTACTGTCTTCATTCATAGACCATGTTCATCTTTTTCTTATTTCTTTCTATATAGCCCAGGTTTGTGAAACTCCACATATCCCATCTGTTAGAGACAGCCCACTGTTATTCCTTGTTGGGCATGCTAATGCACCAGAGCCCACATTTGAAAACAAGCTGTCCTATAGGATTTGGCCTACTGTGTCTAATCATATACATTTTGTCCAGCCTCCTAAAAACCTTCTGGGGTCTGTCTCATCTTCATCTCCCTATGACTGTCTTATTACACAGGTACCTGAATGTCCCAGGTAGTCTTACTGTCTTTAGTCTTATTATTTTTCAATCCATCCTTCTCATAGTTGCCAAGGCTGTCTTTGTAAAAAAAAAAAAATCTGATCACATCATTCCCTTGCCCAAATGCCATCATCCATGGTTCCGAAGTGCCCGTAGCTATATTCCCCTCATGCTATCAATAAATGATTGCTTCTCTAACACATGGAATCAGATCACATAACTTACAAATCAGATCATCTTAAAAAGGGGGGTGCCTCTAGTAATCAAGTAAATATGAGAAACAGAATTAAACAGAGTTCAATCACATTCTTTTTTACTGTAGGATTTCTCAGTCTTTATTATACTGATGTACTTTGTGAATTTCCAAGAAAGTGTTATATATAAACTTACTTGCCCGCTGCACTCATTTTATTATGAACACTCATCACCAATTCAGACAGCCAAGAGCAGTGTTGCTCAGTGGAATTTTCTGTGATGATGGAAATGTTCTCCGTCTGTGCTGCCCAAACTGTAGTCAGTAGCCATGTGTGGCTAATGAGCACTTGAAATGTGTCAAGTAAACCGAGGAGCTAAACTTTTCATTTCATTAAATTTTAATTAATTTAAATTTAAATATATGTTGCCATAAGTGGCTAGTGGCCACCCTATCTAGAGGATGAAATCCAAACTCCTTATTAAGCAGGTGCAACAGTTCTCTCTTTTCCCACAGCCTCATCAATAGCCACTTTCCCCAGTACCATAAGATCTAGTCACGTGGACCTACAGCACTCTCCCAAACAGTCTACATTCTTGCAGTGTCAATGCTTTTGTACAAATCATTCCCCTGCCTTCTCTATATAGTGAAGTCTTCCTCTTTCTTTAGGACTCAGTTCAAGACATACCTCTTTTGGACGTCTCCCTGGTCTTTGCAGGCAAAATTAGGCATTCCGTTCTTTGCTTGGGTTCCCTGAGCTTCAGTTTTTTACTTAGCTTTAGTTTTTAACTTAAGATGTTGTGGTTAGACCCATGAGGGCAAGGGTTGCATTTAATTAACTTTTCTATCATTTGTGATTTCTGTTTGGTGGGTGGCTAATATCAGAAGTAATTTCTATAAGAAAAAAACCTTGCTTTTGACTTTCTTAGCAAAGCGTTGGGGAAACTTTATTGATTTCGCTACCTGCTATTTATTAGAAGATTCCACAAATGTCCTCAACCAGTAAGACTTCATAAGAGGTCCACATTTTTCTTTTTTTAATAATGGCTATGATAGACAAAATTTCTTGGGAATTTGACACTATAAACTTCTTAGAAGCAGGTTAGCTGTCTAAATTAAGTTTATGTTGGAGATTCGTGATTTATGGTAT